ATGTACCTGAGAGTAAAAAAAGGCATGCAGGTAAGTACATACGTCGGCTTGGAATTTGCTTGAAGAGACGAGTAATAGATCCTTCGCATCTTTTTCTTATTGTACGCGGATCAATTTCAAAAAGATATTTATATTGCTTTTTTTTTACAAATGACAGAAGCCAACCGGTTGGTCTAAAAGCATTACGATAAAATGAACAAAATTATATACGCTTTAAAGAAATATTTTTAATATACGAATGATTAAATCTCATATAAAACAAAGCATTACATTTATTTCGAAAAAGAAAAAGTTTGAATATTTATAGGATGAGATAAAAAGAATAGAAGGGGGGGGGGGAAAAGAAAAGGTATAAGTCGGTAAAAATTGGTCAGAGGTGTATATCTGTATCGCCCTTTGAAAAGACAATAAACGTATGCATCTCGCAAACGGTAAAATCTCTCAGTTACGATAGAAAGTATCTTACGTACACCCACCCGATTGGCAGGGGCAAACTAACTTTGACCGATAGAGAATCGCGGTGGTGGTGGCTGAACGAGACTAAGAAAGGAGACAAAAAGATAAAAAAACAAAGTAAAAAAATGAAAAAGAAAAAAACAAAGAAAGAAAGAGAAAGAGAGTGTGGGCGAAGTAAACGCGCATCGACCGAGCCATTAATCCTAGCCCGTAGGCTAGTGGAGTAGACACGAGGCGAAACAAACCCCCTTGTCCGCGACCTATAGTGAGATGGTATCGACGATCGAGTGCGAAAAATCGACTCGGCCGATCAAATAAATCCCAGTCGAGTCGAACGAGCTCCAACTTCAGAGAGAATCTCCAAGCGCGCCGGGGACCGATTCTCTCTCGACGAAACGGCGCCACGAACGTCTCAGTTTCATTCTAACCTCTTTAAAACCCTTTTACAATCCTATCTTACAATACACTCCAACTAGACATCTCATTTCTAACATGTCACGATCTACCATTTCCTAGAAGATATCCCATCCCTCCTTCTTGATATAATCCTACGAAAAGTTCATTTGTTTTATTTCTTTCTTTTTTTTTCCCAACCCACTTTTTTTTTCGTTAACCTTTTATTCAACAGAAGAAAAAGAAAATTAAAATATGAATGAAAGTAACGTAATAAGAATTTTTGGGATGCTGAGATGTTCGATCGTATCTGTTTGATTGTCAAGTGGGGTGGTTTCCACTTGACGTAAAAGTGTCACGTGAAAGGGAGATGAGCCGCAACGATTCTCTTCTTACGCGAAGCAAAAATTCGGGTCTCGGCAGGTCTCGGAGCTAAGCGATCATGTTCCTGGTTCGACGTCCTTTCATTCTCGTCGGCGTTGTGAATGTGGAACGATAAAATGAGCCTCGTCCCAAAACTCAAACGAGGCGGCATCGTAAAACTGACGTTTCGGGGAAGATGCATCGTTACGAGGAAGAAGGAGTCTCTTTATCGATGAAATAAAAGTGACTCGATGAAACCGTACGGTCGTATATACTTTGCTCACTTCAACGAATAATTCAGGCTATGATATTTATTTCTTTTTATTTGAGGTTATATGCGCGGCATACCAATCGCCATCTTTCATGAATTAGTACTCCATTTTACCACCACCGTACAAAGTTGACTTAACCTGTTCAAATTTCGCGTCCTAATAAATATTGAGTTAATTATTTAAAAAATGTAACAAATTAACTATATAAAATAATAATAATTGAGACAATCGAAATTTCTAATATATTTTTTTAAATAGTATTACTATACTCGAGTGTGTATAATATTAAATGGCATTGCTGAAAGAAATATTTCTTCCTTTTTCAACATCTTTAGCTATCATAAAATAAGTCTATGATTTATAACGCTTATCACTTCGTATATTAACTTTGATCGTAAAGCGTAGAGACAGAGAGAGAAAAAAAAATCAAATAAAATAATATAAATAAGGTAAAAAGAATATTGATCACAAAGATGAGATGACGTTTCTTCGTTACGTCATTCCTATACCGTTCTACGAAACGAATCTTTCATCGAGTTGAGACAGCGTTTTATACGCCCGGAGTGACGCTCGCCTGTAAAACATAGTCGTCGCCGTAGTTTTCCTCCTACTCCACCTCCTTCGCAACAAACCTTTTCTAACTCCTTAGAACGAAAGAGAGATGAGGATTCGCCCGGCGGGAGGCTCGTAAAGCGCGAGCAAGTCGGCTAGAAGTAGGTAAATTCGCGATTTACTGCTTTCTCAGAAAGTCCATTCTATCGGTGCCCTCGGCCGATCCCGCAATAATCGGACGTCTTACGTGTCCCATAAGCGCGATAAGATCGTTTTGCGAGTTGAGAAGTATGGTAAGGAGAGGAAAGAGGATATAAGAAGAAGAAGAAGAAGAAGAAGAAGAAGAAGAAAAAGAAGAAGGTGGAGGAGGAGGAAGGTTGTGGAGGCTAGGCGCGTGAGAAGATGCAGCACGCGGAAGCAGACGAGAGTGAACCATGAAAAGAGACAGATAGTTATAGATAAACAGAGAAACTGAATAACTATAAGTATCTAAGAAGGACAGAGAGTACAAGTTAGAAAAGAAGGTAAAATAAATGAGAGAATAAAATAGAGAAAGAGAGAATAACAATAATAGAAGAGAGAATAAGAGAGAAAGAGAGACAAGATAATATGAAATACCGTAAGAGAGATAAGGAGAGAAAATATGAGAGAGAAAGAGAAAGAGAGAGATAGGAGGAAATGCTGTTGGTGTCACGAAGGAACCTAAATACTTGGTCGTCCGTTAGGCGTGCTTAGTCCTCTTCTACGTGCCGTGTAAACACGCTCCTCCGTGCAAAAGACGCACGCGCGGAGTAGGTGAGATAAAACGCAGGGTCACCACGTTCGTTGCGGGGTCACGACACCTTCTTCTTCTTCTTCTCCTCCTTGCGTTTGCAATGGCGCACTGCACACTACTTATTCGCACCTGTACTCTCCTCTCTCGCGCAATATATACTCGGGTTCTCTATCTCCTTTTATTTCTCGTTTTTCGTTTTATTTTCTTAAAGCTCTATACCAACGTGTTTGAATTCTCTCTCTTTCTCTCTGGAGGTAGCTTAACACGGCCCAGTGACCCGTATAACCTACGCTCTGCTTATGATCGAAGAGATTTCTGTGTATCTCTGTATACGTGGTGTATCTTTCCCTTAACGGGATGCCTCGTTCTCTCAAACGATTCGCTTCCTTCTTCTACGAGACCTTCCTACGAAGGTCTGCCTTCTTCTTCTTCAGCTTCTTCGTCTTCTTTTTGTTTATTCTTGTTGTTCGTGTTTCTCGTCTCTCTAGTCTCTTTCTATTCTCCTTTAGTTCTTCTTTTTCTGCTCTTATAGCTTCTTTGCTAACGGAGCGATCAGAGCTAACGATACAGACGGCGATTTGATAGCGATCGAGCGTGATGACGGTAGGTAGGATAGTCCACGAGATAACTATGCTAAAAAGAGTTATTACATACATTCGAATTTGAACGATAATAAACATTTCTATCTGTATACCACTAATCAACTTTTTACAATTGTATTCATTTAATTAATCGTACAGTTAATTTATTTATTTTTTTTTCAGATAGATCTCGTTAGTCGCGTTTAACGATACTTAACTTTACTGTGTGACTAAATTATTTTTACAATTAAAATTCTTTACAGCTTACATTTGATAATCTTTCTAGGAATGAATGAACTCGTCATCCGTTGATAACTGTTTTCATAGTAATTGAGAGACTGATTTGTTATCAGTCAATACTATGATAGATACCTACTTGAGATTGTTCTATTATGTGCCAAGATAAACACTCGAGATTGTTCAATAATGTGTTATGATATATATTCCAGATAGCTATATTATCTGGATAGACACTTCAGATTGTCCAATACTACGTAAAGATAAATACTTCAGATCGTTCAATAATATTCCAAGATAAATATTACGAGTGTCCCACAATATAAAGTATAAATAAAGATACTTTAAAAGTAAGAAATGAATTCAAAAATTTACCATGAGAATGACACTTATTATTTTTTGACTCGTTCAAATATCAATGATCAAACTCTTCACGAGAACGTTTACTTAACTTCGCCTAGAATCTCAAACCCACGTATGGTAAATATAGATAAATGTTGAAGGCAAATGGCGAATATTAAAAACGGAAATTTACGAATAAAAAGCAAACAAGAAAGAGATCCTAAGGCAACTATTAAATTCCAATAAGGCCAAGTATTTCTGCTCGCGAAAATATGCAATAACTAGGTTAATATCCTAAAATAAATCAAAAACTAGATTCATACACCCAAACATTGTGAAACATTATTACAGTGTTACAACTTTTGCTGATATTCGATCGCAAACACGCGAACACTCGGCCCAGTGACCCGAATAACCCGTGGTTTGCTTATGATTCAAGCAGTTTCCATCTTACTCCTCTCCTTTCCTCTCAGATAAGCCCGAGGGCGAGGAGGCACCTTTTCGTTTGCACCGCTCGTTATTTCGCACGGCGACGTGGACGACGTTCGTGTCTTCTTGTCCTCTATCTCTTTCTCGTTTGCTCTCTCTCTCTCTCTCTCTCTCTCTCTCTCTCTCTCTCTCTCTCTCTCTCTCTCTCTCTTTCACTCTTTGGGTTAGCAGCTCCCGTTAATTATACGAACGAACATCTTGCTGGTTGCCAGGCCCCCCCTCCCCCCACAACAATGTCAGTAGGCCCTGGTTTCGACGAGGAATCATTAATCACGTCGAACATGTCCATGGAAACGATCTAATTACCCGTTTTTGGACATACCTTTGAATCTTTTGTGTTTTGTTCCATTTAACACTATTAGGGTTAACCAGTTCCTAAACTTTTACCATCCTATAAATATTTCTTATTTTCTATGGGAATGCAAAGAAATAAATAAAAAAAAGATACATTTCAAGTGACCGGTACTTAAAATGACAACTCAAGTGGATTTTTTTCTAAACCCATATCAGTTAAATAAATTCAATCTGTTTGCTCGGCAGGTACTGTCGTGGCTCTGCAAAAAAGGTGAAGACGTATTGTCGAAACACGCACAACACTCAGCAACAACGCTCTCAGCAGCTCGTCATCACGAGAGGGAATTTGAAAAGTTTTACTTTACGTCGATGGTGAGTACCACCTATATACCTATATACCTAGCAACCAAGTAACCAACCAACCAACCTTTCGGTAATATCCCGCGAACTCAATCGTCCTGCGGCTCGTTAATGGAAACGAAAGGAGAGCCTTGGGGGCCTTTTGGTATTCGCCCTCCCTACTGAGAAAAGAGAAGAGAAGATTTCACTTTTTTCACGTCCCATTGAGCCGCTCGTCACGCTTCGATACGAAAGAAATTTCGCTGCTGAGCGAGATGCCGTGACGAGAGGGAGTTGAGAGAGCAGGGAACAAGGGGCGGGTCAGGAGAGAAGAGGGAGGATCCGCTTGCAATAACTTCGAAATAATAAAGGAAACCATTGTGTTGAGTAGGAGCAGCTTCCTTCCCCTATATTGCCAAGAATCACGCTGAGTTTGAGGGACTTTTCTTCTTTCTTGTTAGCCGTAGGCTCTTATTGGGGGCGGAGAAAGAGAGAGAGAAAAGAAACGAACAACGAAAAGACTCTCTTCGTAAAAACTTCTTTGAAATTTCCTTAATGCAGTAGGAAAAAGTATAAATTTTGAAGGTAATTGCGATTGAAAATAAATGGAAGAAGCATATTTTTTGATTTACGAGAAAAGGGGAACATTATTTATGCCTTATGTCTTGTTATAGGACATTTTTAAGTGTAATATCAGTCATTGGAAGGTAATTTTCTTCCCATGCAGTAATTCATTTTTTGTAGGTTAAATCTGTATTGCAGGAGACTGTATTACCGACTAATCTAATACAGATTAGAGTTCGGTCGGTAATAAGTTTCTTAATTGTACTTTCCCTTTGTCATATTTTGCAATACAAGAAATATTATCTCACAATCTATTAAATAATTTTTGTATTATTTTATACACACATATGTATATTTATATATTTTTTGTTTTCATTTTATTAGAAACAAAAAAGGAACGAGTGAATTACGAAACCGATTGTCGATCGATTTTTACTCGATCGGTAAGTCGATCGTTCTATAAAGTGCTGCCGTCTATGAACACTTATAATCAAACGTAGTTAACTCTTTAAACTCTTCAGATAAAGTTGACTCTATGAAAATTGAAACGATCGGAAAGACTATAGTTACGTTAATGATAGCTATTATTTCGTTCTCTCGCGAATGTAAGCTAGTTAATCGAGCCTCACTGGAATCTCATCGATCTTTTGTAATAGCCCGATCGAATCGCAGCCATTAATTTAAAGAGTCCGATTCCGAGTAAAGTTCTGTAATTAGAGGCGTATACGTTGGAGAAACTCGCGGTAATCGCGATAGAGAGTAGTCGATTAACGCGTTTCGGATCCCAAAGCGAAACTTGCTTCTTTTTAACGACTAAAGTGGATACCAATGTCTCTTCTTATCAATAAATGGTACGACTCTGTGTCCGTTTCCTTTGTTCGATAAGATATCGGTAACGGTACGTACCGATATTCAACTATTTATCGCCATTTTGTATTTTCTCTTTGATCCTACACTCTTCTAACAACAATAAACACTTTTATTCCAGTTTTTCTAAACGATTTTTGCGATTTTGCAAAGGTGAGAACACTTTGTAAAATTGATTATTGCAGAGTTTAAAATACATAAATGTTTGTCCTATTAAATTAACGTCAGGAACAATAAATATTATCAAAATTTGTATTATCAATTATTACAAATGTAAATTCTATATTCATAAATAATTAATTAGAATAATAAATTACAAGAAAATACAATTTGATAATCCCCATTTTGAAGCAATAGATAGTATTACTCGATGAAACGTGAGAAATTCGTACAGAAATTACTTCTAAAACTCGCGCATATGCGAGAAAGGTATGTGAATAACTTTGCCACAATAGAAACGGAAATTCCATCGGTAACTTTTTTTTCCCTTAGCATATAATCGAACTTTCTCCTGTTATCCATGCTTTTGCTCGACGAGTTAACGCTAACGTTATAGAGAAAAGTTGAGAGGAGGAAAAGATTCGTTATAGGTTCTCGATCAACGTTTACAATCATCTCGAACATTGTGTGTGTGTGTGTGTGTATGGATATGAATGAATGAAATTTTAAAATTACTTCAATGGACAGTATTTCACGATAAATTTTAATTAATCAAGGTTTCACTCACTTCATTTAAAGTCCTAACATTCTTTTTTAAATATTTTCCTTCATTTTATTTTCACATTTCATGGTTCATTACCTTGCTAATGTTATCATAATCGTTACACTATAATTTATGATCTGTGATACCACGATTACGATATGAAATTACTCGTGTGCTGATTTTTTTCGTATAATTATACGTTATGATCGTCAGCGAAGACAAAGTCAGAAATAAAACTTTCCTCAAATCTTCTGTTACATTTATTCTCGAATCTACTTCGTCCAAAAGAAGACACTTGTTTCTGTTTTACTGTTTTCTCTTTTTGTTTAAGAACGTCCGAGTTGTTTTCAGAAGCACATTACATTAAAGTTAGGTAGATGTATATCCAAGTATGTACCTTGACCCAAATGTTACCTTACTGAGAAGAGAAGGACAATGTAAAAGAGATTGCATCCTTTAAAGTACAAAACGATGTTTACCATGTTGTTAAAACCGATCTCAGAAAATCATCGAGGTTTTGGTTTCACTGGGGAAACAGTCGAGATACGTTGATACGAGTGTAAGTACATGTTCGTTCCCCTAACCCAATTACTAGGACAAATGGTAATGGTAAGGAAATCGCGAGTTGAATAAGAACGAAGGTGTCGTTTGACTTTGTAGATGCCGAATGCCCAGGCAACTTGGGATGACCGTAAAACGTACAGGAAATCACGCCTTGTCTTTGAAAGTTCGTACTACCTTCAAACTCGTGCGTTCTATAATACTATGTTCAAATATTTTTTACGAATATATACTGTTTTACAATAAAGTATTTTTTATTTCTATCTAATATATCTATATAAATTTATCATTTATATTAAATAATTTTCAATTGTAATATTGTTGTAAAAAACAAAACACTCGTCATAGTTGGTTTCTCCTCATCCTAAAATTGGCAAAGGAAATAAACATTGCAAAACAAAGAAAAAATTAACAACGATCTTCGATAACAAAATTACGTTAACTAACTTTCGCTTATTTTTTATCTTGAAGAAGATCGTACTTACATTAATATTCTTTAAGAAAGGATAACAACAAATATATATGATTGCGTCCGGTTGCTAAGTTTCCTCGATGCCATCTCGCACCGTGTTTGGCGTGTGTCATGAATTGCGATCGGGAAATTATTTCAAAATCGCTTGCAAAACTATGACGAATCGTTCGATATGAGGTGGTTATGCTCGTTGACTAGCACACACGCGTACACGTATGTATGTATGTATAATTTTAAAATTAAATAAAAAAAAACACATTAAATCATATAAAATATCTAATAGTATATAGCAGAATTTATTTGACTTTTAATCAAACATTGTATTATTTTTATGGGAATATCTGTTAGGAATAGAAATGAATTTTCTAAATCGTACAGTGATCTCACACGTTTGATCAAGAATATTTATTCATGGTGTGCGAAATAGCAGTTGTACGAAGAAGAAGAGTATACTAATCCCGTGAACCCTCTATTTTATTAGGCTCCTTCCCTTCGTCATATATTTTATCATAGTGGGACTAGCCAGTCACGTGAAAAGGTTTAATCGTCTAATCACGATCCACCCCACGCATTACACCCACTTAACAGTCGATGGATTTATCCGGGCAAAAGGAAGATGTCACCCTTTTAACGAATGGAAACCATCTGTCGTGTCGTTGACAATATTTAACATCTCGAAAGTTTTTAAATGATTTTACAAATCAGCAACTCTTTTTTCAAGACTTTTTACGAATAATTTATTATCCTGATTTTAAAACTACGAGATGAGGAAATTAAATCTTGCAACAAAAAGGATGTTACGAAGTTTTACAATAATAAACATATTAAAAAGATGAAGGGGAGTAGCTTGGAATGCGACAAAACAAGAATAATCGATTCTAAAAATAATCTCGAAACCTGTGGACCCGCCTAGAACTTTTACTCCACCTTTTTTTTCAATACTAAACAGGAAGTAGAAGGTAAAAGAGAAAGAGAAATAGAAAAAGAAAAGGAAAGGGAGACAAGGTCCGAGAAGGAAGGTCGTTTTAGGGACGACAAGTCTTCTGAACGGTTGGAACCTCCTTCCTGTTCCACTAACGAGTCTCCTCCACCGGTAATAGTAGTTTTACGTTCTACTTCGAAGAGGCATCGATTAACCCACATATCTCGAAGCAAGATGCATCGAACCAGCTCGTCTTATCTCTCTCTCTCTCTCTCTCTCTCTCTCTCTCTCTCTCTTATTCTTTTTATCTTTTATATTTTTTTCCCCTCTCTTTTTCTTATTCTTTTCAAACACCTACACACTAGCACGCTAACTATGCGTAACATTACATCCGTCTTCGTTGCACCTTCTTCTTCTTATTCCTAGATATCTTTGCAACGTAACATCAAGTGTGAACTCACATAGAAATTGCGTGTGCAATCGAACGAGTGTTTTAACACGAACTTATACACCTTGTCGTTCGATCACCTAATTATCTACCTGTTATCAATCCGTATAAAATTTATGCACACACACCCATTTATTTAAGTGAAATCGGAATTTAACTGAAATAATAAATTCAACATTAAATAATTGTATAAATCTGATTATATACCCTTTGATAAAATATATCAACGGTTAAATCAAAAAACGAAGTAGATATTATTGAATGAAAGAAACTTGGAACCGTTTGAAATGACGTAGACGTTGTGTAGTTCGATTCGTAATAACGATAAGACGATAAGATGAGACGAGGACAGGATATTTATCCGGTTGAGGTGTGTCCAAGATGGAATGTCATCTACCTGGGCGGACGTACGAACATAATACAAGCATTTTGTAAATGTGTCTTTAGAGTTAACAGTATCGGCATACTATCGTACTTGGGGAATACATATACATAC